TACGTCACCTTACGGTGATGGCCAGCATGCTTCGACCTTTCTGGGTCAGGGTGTGTCATAATTAAACATTAAATTAATTAACAAAACTAATTTACTATCCCAAATAGAAATTATAATTAATGCAAATATTAATACTCATCCACATAACATATATTTATTCATTAAATTAAATATAAAGTCCACAAAATCCTATTGAAAAAAAAAACAACCCTCATCAACTTTAATCCTCCGCCCGCAACACATCAAACTTCCACTGTCGAAAACTCTGCTTGAAAAGCCCATCCACATAAATCCGTTGCTTCTCATCGGTTTCATCAACATCACAATGAACCTACATTAATGCCAGTAACAACAAATTAGTAATTTAAAAAATATTACGTTTTAACAAAATAATTGTTCATTATTTACCAAACCTACCGATAACTTTCTCAGCATGGACTTCTTCAACTCCTCAGGGACTTTTTTCCAAGACTCAAACTCGGCAGAACAATCCCTCTACACCAAATTCCCAACGTCATACTTAAATTTGGCGTACGCCTCATCCAAATTTTTGCCTTCAAAGTACGGCACTTGCTTCCGTCGATACCTCTCTATTTGCACTACAAGTTTTTTTTTGCCAGAACCTTCTCTAGAATCGGCCATCATTTTTTAAACAAAAAAAAAATTTGAAAACTAGGGCTTTGAAACTATTATATAGCACCAGGACACCTTTAAGCGACGAAAATATTCGTTCGTCGCGCAAAATGCGTCATCAATGCACAATTAATTGGAAGGTTTGAATGCATGTTGGCCGTGCTTTGCGCGACAAATACATGTGTTCATCGTGCAAAGATTCCTTACGCGACGAAGCTATTGCCGCTCAAAATATTGTGCAACGAATAAAATATTAATTATTTTTAGAATAAATATTTAAGGTATGATATTTAATACTTTAAATATTTATTCTAAAAATAATTAATACTTTAAATATTTATTCTATAAATAATTAATACCTGAAATATTATTCTATAAATAATTAATGCCTTAAATATTTAGTCTATATATAATTAATTACTTAATCCATGCAATTATTTTCAGCATAAGTACAATATTCATTGAAGATTGTAAACACATATAAACCGAGGATAGGGTGCTTACATTAGGTTTCAATAAAAAAAACCAACATGAATTGAAACCTAATTAAGTCCAAATACATAATTGAAACATAATTAAGTCTGAATACGTAACATAAAAAAAACACCTTACATTTAAATATTGTCATACAAAACATAAATTTAAAACTACTATTTGGATGATCTTGGTCCATTTCGCAAGACTTCATAACGCCATTGATTGTAACCTCCCTCCAACGCATTATCCATCAACTTCATCAACTGTTTGTTTGTATCATCATCAAGAGTATACTTACACTGTTACACATATATGCAAATAATTAATTTCAACATATAATTAAAATTTTCACAAGCTTAATTATTAATCCATCAAGAATAATATACTCACTAATACTTCATCCATCACAACCTTCTTCACATTCCCAGGTACATCTTCCCAAGAACACCACTCAGGAGTGGGACAATTATTCCCTATGGCTACAGTGATCGCATGCGCAAACTCAAAATGATCCCTTAAATCATGCGGGTTGGCATTACATACAGTCTCACCCTTGTTCTTATCCGCCATCCTAGCACGAAAATAATTTTGAAGAATAAGGATAATAAAATTGTGAAGAATCAGGACAGCAGAAACGAATATTTATAGGTGGGTTAGGACCTTTGCGCGACGAATCCTTTGTCCCGCAAACACCTGTATTAAATGCGGTATTAATTCCTCGGTTTCACCTGCAGTAAATGGTCAAAACTGACAGGAACTTGCGCGACGAATTATTGGTTGCGCAAATTCTCCATTTCGTCGCCCAAGTTTTTCGTGTCACCCCGTGTTTTCTTGCCCACTTTACGCGGCGCCAGAGATTATTCGTCGCGAGAACTGTTATTGAGCGACGAAACTCTTCGTCACGCAATTTTTTGAGGTTATTTGTTGCGCAAAGTGTTCTTGCACAACGAAGTTATTCGTCGCTTTATTTTGCGCGACGAAGTTTATTTTTCGTCGCTTTCGTCGTGCAAAATATAGTCGCGCAAGCTGTTTTTTCTACTAGTGTTACCGTACCCACCCCACCACCCTGTCCCCCACCTCACCACCACTGTACCCCGCCCCACCACCAACCCACTTAAACCCACCCCCATAACCACCTACCTTGCCCCCGTCAAGCAATCACAACCCGCCAACATCGCTTCATAACTTCACAAAGCACCCAAGTTTTCCAAAACTTTCACATTTATCCACCAATTTCAAATAATTACATCAAACGGACACGCATAATAAACTCTTTGACTTACTTAATCATAATAAATAGAAATAATAAAATTAAATTCTAGGGTTGTAGTTTCAAAACTCACCAAGTTCGAAATTGATTATGGGGAATCAAATATGACATTTGTTTTCGTGCAAGGACAATGAACCCAACTCCAATGAAGTGAAAACACATGTCCTTTCTATGGAACCGCCTAGACAGCCTTGAACCAAACTCCCTTGATTTTTTCCACTACTGTCTGGAAGTGCAGTGAGGCCGAAGAAGACAAGCATAGCATAACTACAACTGGGTTTGGAACGAGAAGCAAGTTTTTGAACGGCTCGTGGGAGATGAAGAGTTTTGGGAGGAGAACACAAATTTAAGAAGGTTACTATTGTTGTTGGGGCGGGAGATAGTTTAAATCCAAAAAAAATAATTAAATTAAATTGTTGTCGGGTACCATTTTCATTTAGTGACGGATCAATTATGACCCAGTTTCACCGTAAGCTCATTTTGATGGATTCGTTTTCAGCCGTTCTGTCACATCCTGTCCCGAGCCCCCACTACATCCCTGGCTCGACTCCATCGTAACACGATATTGTCCGCTTTGGGCCCCGACCACGCCCTCACGGTTTTGTTTCTGGGAATTCACATGAGAACTTCCTAGTGGGTTACCTATCTTGGGATTGCCCTCGAGCGAACTCACTTAACTTCGCAGTTCCGACGGAACCTGAAGCCAATGAGCTCCCAAAAGGCCTCGTGCTAGATAGAGATGGGAATATACATATAAGGCTTACAGGATCCACTCCTCTGAGATATGTGGGATGTAACAATCCACCCCCCTTAGGGGCCCGACGTGTTTATCAGCCAGGGATTGGCTCTGATACCAAATTGTCACATCCCGGCCAAGGCCCCCACCACATCCCGGACTCGACTCCACCGTAGCACGATATTGTCCGCTTTGGGCCCCGACCACGCCCTCACGATTTTGTTTATGGGAACTCACACGAGAACTTCCTAGTGGGTCACCCATCCTGGGATTGCCCTCTCGCGAACTCGCTTAACTTCGGAGTTCCGACGGAACCCAAAGCCAGTGAGCTCCCAAAAGGCCTCATGCTAAGTAGAGATGGGAATATACATATAAAGCTTACAGGATCCACTCCACTAGATGATGTGGGATGTAACACGTTCGGATTTGATCTAATGGACCACATCCGGTCTGCACCTTAGAAAACGCGTTCAATAAATAGTGAGAACCCATATTTTAAGAAAAAGATTATACTTATACTATTATTCTTGCCCCATTTTTTTAAGCTAGCTTATACTTAATTAATCTTAGCATGAGGTGGATGATTTGTTAGCATGAGGTAGATGATAAAGATGGCTTATTACATGAGGTGTGTGATCAAGTGCATGTGGCGTTAATTGTTGCATGCAATTAGCTTGAGGTAGAGCTTTGCAGTCAATACATATATGTTATAGCTTCTTGGTGTCACCCCAGTAGATAGTATTCCTACGAGGTCGACAGACAACAGGTGCTTTAGGTGTCAACTTGCTAATTAGCTTACTCATCTCCTTTATACATTATCATATTAACCTTCGATGTTATCTTATGTACTTTTGCCGCCTTCCTCCAACTATATATAGGACTTTAGTTCTTTGTTTTTGATATTGGTTGGTTATTAGAAAGTGATGCATGCGCTGCATGCAGAGCACATATATATATAGAGAGGGAAGAAAGAGAGTTAGGGTAAGGAGTTGGTTGTGTGGAGATGGTTAGTGGGCTTGTTTTGTCAAGGTTCTGATAATTGAGGTGAGTGATTTATCTAATGTGTTCAAAATATTCTTATATTCTGATAAACGAAAACCATGAGTTATCATGGGATTTTACTCTATTTTTAAATATCTCTCTATTTCAAGTCAAGTATGTTGGATTTGTTGAAATGTATCGGAGTTATTATGTATGGTGATATGTGGATTCTTTGGAATGTTCATGGAGCATGAGAACTTTGGTGTTGCATTAATCCAAGAGATAAATGTAAACTGCACATGGGGACATTAGGGCAGAATGACCATTAGGAGTCACGTGGTGAGTTACAATTTATGACGGATATAATGAACACATGACGGGACGATGTGATATGGCACTAAGTGTATAATAATTTGATATTATTATCTATTTTATAGTGTGGGTAAAACAGCATGCTTGACTGCATATTACATATTCTACTCACTGAGCGACAGTAGTGGTTTCTCACCCTTCATCCTATTATTTTTCAGATGAATTATTTGGCAAGATAGATGCTAGACAAACTAAGGTTGTGTTACATAAGAGATTTAAGGATTTGATTTATCTTTGTACACCCTGTAAAGATTTTGGAGTTATTTGAATAAGAGAAGTTTGTTTTTTGTTTTAATTTTTTTTAACTTTTACTGGTGCACCAGGCGCAGGGTTATTTTTCCATCGACCCCGAGTTTGGGGCGTGACAGCTTTAGAGCGGGGTGGTCAAGATGAATTGAGCACATTTGGGCCGGGCTGGATTTCAAACCCTTGGCCCAAGCAACCCAACAACAGGCGGGGCTCAGGTAAGCCCACTTTGGGCCAAATTTTGAATACCCTCCCCCTTTATGTAGATAATATCGTTTGCTCAAAAAAAAGAAATGAGAAATAATATACAAACGAGAAACCTAATTATATGTCGGCGTAACGAATAGCTTCAAGCATCTAAGATATTGTAATACAAATGCAACATGCTAAACCGTAATCTATTTCTTGGTTAACCAATAGTTGTTGAAGTATTCCCTCAATAGTGTTGTCGTCATCATCAATACACCCCCAGATTAGGTAGACTAAGAACTGCCTTGTTGATTCCGTCGACAATCAAACTTTTTGCCGCAAAGGACGCTTCTTCTCTCCCTCCAAAATTTAGCAATAAACTAAGGAATGTGTTTTCTTCTGCCTCCAACAATGTTCCATGTTAGTAGAGTTGCGTTGAACGGTTATGTTCGAAATGATCATACGCATGTCGGGTTCTTAAGAATAACAGTACACTTGAACCTAGCCCAAGAACAGATATGCAAGCCCACCCCACAAAGGTTAAGAAGTAGCAGTCCCTCCCCATGCACACAATCGAATCAGTCCTTAAGATGTTTAGGTTAGACCTCACATTTGAATCATAAACGATCGCTGCAAGAAGGCCATAGACGAGCGAACCAATTGGTATGTTTGTAATAAGCATGTTGTGGTTAACACCTACGCTGTTGGGCCCGAACAACTCCGATGTGATGGAAACAGCAGCTGCGAAAATGAATCCGGAGCTCAATCCTATTAATGCAGTGCCTGTGTGCAAAGCGAAGCTACTGCTTGATGAAGCAAGCAACAAGAAGGCCACTGGGGTTGGCAAAAGTGCAATTGTCAACCATCCTGTCCTAGCAAAATAAACCTTCCTGCAAAATGTGGATAAAACATTGTGTTAGTCAAAGATGTAACAAACCTCAAAAGTTTAAAATGTTGAATAGCATAAAAATGACATTTCAAGTGATGTCACACACTTATTTTGTACGTACATTTTATGACCAATTATTAATTACAGATTAACTTACACATAATGTCATCAATTACGTAGTTTAGATAAATTAGGCAAAAGAAGTGCGCATTATCAATACTTACGCACGTATGTAGTCTGGTGCAGCCGAAAGCAACCGGCCGAAGAATGAAAATGATGAATAAAGTGTGACAAGTGTTGTAGTCTTGGAGCTCTGTCCTAATGATTGAGCTATCTGCCCCAGATTGTTGCTGTACACAAGACCAATAGTACCTCCACAAAAATATGCTACGTAGTATAGCCAAAAATCGAACCTTCGTACAAGTGCTCCTGCTGTGTGGTCTTCCCCAAGCATTGCCAACTGACCCTTGCCCAAAATTGCCCCACAACAGCCTGCGGTGCTCTGATATCCGCTCTTATGTCTAAATGACAAAGTTGAAGGAGGTCTTTCATTGTTGTTGAAGAGGTGATCAACACATGCATTCCCGTAATTCATACTGTTATCACGCGAAAGGAGTTCTTTGTGAAGCTCAAGATCTTCAACATCAATAAGAACGAAGCCCGAGCCTTCAAGGCGGATGCTAGAATGAAGGGAACGGCGAAACCAATCTCTAGCGTAGACAATGCCAGGTATACACAGAGGGAAAATGAGTAGGAAAATGGCACCGCCTAAGAAGAGACGAGCTGTTGCTGTATCAAATGAGGTTGAACCAAAGAGAAGAAGGTAAACACCAGTTAGAACAGCTAAAATATTCAAAAGGAGAAAGATGAGGGAGTCACGGCGGACTCCATCAGGTGGGAGAGGGTCTAGACTGGGTTGGCGGAGAATAGGGATCAATGCAGCGGCAGAGGTGAGAAGGGGAATGACACCATTCAAAATTAGAAATAAAGAAGTAGACGATGAGTCAATTGCACTGGCTGCAAGGTTGTATAAGGCTGCACTTACGCCATTGAAGCTTACTGTGAGTGATATTGCTAAGGGTTGATTAGCTGGGAAGTTCCGAATGCAAAGAACGAAGCATACGGTGTTGAACCAACAGATGCTACACCCAGCCAACAAACAAAGAAGAAATATCTGCCAGAAACAAGTTCCATAACAAGACAAGTTAGAGCTATATCCATGAAAAAACACTCGGGCAAAAATCACATCAATACAACTGTCTCCTATAGGTCCTGCTGCAATTTTCCGTTTAAAAGGTTGCACCAAGACCTATACTTTGATTCTTAATTCTGAAAATTTGAATGTGATTCGTGCGTGACCTTTGAAAAGGGTCATCTTAGAATCACATGCAATTTTCTGGACGGTAAAATGATTGGTTAGAGGTAGCACATTACAACAATATTTTAACGAAGGTGGCATGGTATTCAATTTTTATTTTCAGTTGGCAAATTAAACAAAATCTGACTACAACTATAGCTCATATGAAATTAATATATAAACAAATTAAAATAATTAAATGAAACCAAAAAAAAAAAACGATTAAATTAAAAATCTAGTCATCCATCACATGCAATGCATATTGACAAGTACTCTTAGATTCATGTGAGGTTGATTAACAATACAACCATGAATCCATCAAATGGAATGTTTGGAATATTGGTTGGAGGATTAATAGTTAAAAAAAATGGAGCAACAAACTGTTTTATTAACACATCAAACTCTCGTGCTCGATCAAACGATGACATGCATGCAAATGCACGAAATTGTTGGTGGAGATTCTTGACTTCGACCTAACAGTGTAATACTGAATGCAAACTCTCGCCAATCACTTTTAAATAACTATAATTAAGGAAAAAACAGAATTCTATAATATGCTTCATATAGTACCCTATATTTAGAAGCACCATAGAGAGTCTCAACAAAGAAATAAGAACTTCTTGGATTACTTGTCGAGAATCATGCAGTATCCACCACTATTCATAATCACAAGCCAAATTATAGACCAAATGTATATCGTTTTTTTTTTTTTTTTCTAATTTACTATTTTCTTATTAACATTTGAAAACAAAACAGAAAACAGAAACTAATTGGTATGAAGATTTTTTTGTACCAAGGACAGATGACAAGGATTTTATTTGTACTTAAACACCAAAGAAACAATAAAAGAAATAAAATTAGAGAAAGAGAAAGACAAGAAATAGTAAGGAAAGAGAGGTGAGAAAAGAAGACAAAAGAAAAGTGAAAACAAAAACCTAATATTGACAACTCCAAGAAGTTACCAAGTAGTCTCGTTCCAACAAGTCTGCTCATCAGAGCGAATGCTGTACCCGTTTTTTCTGCAAGTAATATGGCACAAAATTGAATCTGATATCGAAAGGAAGCTTCTTCCAATCAACTTTTGTTTCATCACTAAAAATTTTAAAAGCAAAACTAACTTTTGTTTCACGTGGACGGTAAAGATGCTTCCTAAAATTTGATAATGCAGAATATATCAATTTACTGTTTGGGCTAAAGATAACAAACCCAATTGTGATGTACCTAATTAAGTTTGTAAAATCCCAATATTTTAAAATTTTTGTTTATAAAAAAATAAAATTGCTACAAGTGATATTATTACTCAAAGTTAGAGGAGGGGAGAGGGAAAGAATTTTAACTCAAGTTACAGTATATTAAAGAGGATGACCATAATCACCAGGACAATTCAACACTGTTGAAAACAAAATAATTCTCAACTAACTGGGAAAACAAAAATGTGCATTTAATACTAAGGAAAGGAGCAATCAAACACTGAGTAAATTTAATTTTTTTTCAAAGTGATTTACTTACTTAAAAGAAGAGAAGCAGTTATGCGAATGAGACATGATTGTTCAACTACGAGATGAACAAATTTTGTTGGTGATCCATACCTGGTTGTTTAGGTATGACGTACTCTAATTTCAATATATGAGATCAACTTACTTTTATTGCCACTATGTTATTAAGCACATGATATGTCAGGAATGTTTTTTATTAAGAGAAAAAAAGTGCTTATAAAATAAATACAAACATAAACACTATTAACTTTAACTAATTAATTTTTTTTACTAAGGCTTATAGTTATCTAGGAGTGGGAACGAAATTAAAAAATTAATCCTATATGAATCTTATTGGACTTGAATCCCTTGAAATAATTCCAAGGAACTTTCAAAGAATTCGGAAGTGACTGATGAGCTTATTTGTTCTTTTGGCGTTATCAGAATTAAAAAGGACTGATGAGCTGATATGCCTTTTATATACATACAGTTAACTGGGACCACTTGATTCCCAACAAAAAGAACCTAGAAATTGCAATAAATTTTTAAAAAGTTGAATAAATTATTGTCTCAAAAATTGAACGCTATACATATATAATTATTAAGAATAATACTTTCTAAAGGAAATTTCATTTTGGTCCTAAAAAAGTATATATATAGTAAGAATACCGTATAGCATAGCGGGGTCCAGAGAAGCAACAGGTGGATACAATTTGTGCTTTCGCTTGTGATATAACAACGATTGTTAGTGAAAGTTAAAGGCAATATTTGACAAATAAACTTTACCGAAACAAATAAAATAAAAATTCAGGATCTCACGCAGACCCCACACACCCTTTTTTGCTACTTTAATTTACGTGAAAAATAAATAAATGAGCTGAATTCATTTTTTCGAGAAAGTTAAATGAACTTTCGAGTAAAAGGAAACAGCAGAAACATCTGGTGGAGGATGGCAGTGATATTGCGGTGGTTAGAAGTGTATCCACCCCAAACAAGCAGCATTTGTCACTGAGTTGTAACATGAAAACTACTACTTTCAACTAGACCCGGCAGTTTCTGACACGACACGGTGACACGACACGAAAACGACACGAAAATAACGGGTTTTGGGTCAACACGATAACTTATCGGGTCATTATCGGGTGACCCGTTAAGAACCCGTTAATAACGGGTTCTTAACGGTACAACGGTTAACACGTGGGTAACCTGTTTCGACCCGTTAAGAAAAAAATTATTTTGATAATTTTAAAGTTTAATTACTAAAAGATTTCTTATAAAATACAATAGCCATATTAATATATACAGTCTATTCTATATTAAATATATAGTTTTGTATTATTATTCTATATAAGTTAAAAAAAAGTTTTTGTCATTATTTATTTTTATTATCAGAGTTCCTTATTATCATTTCTAGGATAAATTTTACTTAACATATTGCTGTCTAAAATTAAAATAAACTAATATAGTATTTGTATAGGCAAGAACTAAGAAGACATACATACAAGTATGAAAAATGTGAAAGAATATATAAACACTCGTGATTCATCATTATTTCTCCACGAGTAGATAATGGTTACACTTACATTATCGTTTAGATTTTTAAAATCCTCCAAACCTTCATGAATAATGTTTTTTATTTGAGGGAAAAATTAATAAAATTAATAATAATTATTGTAGAAGTGTAAAAAATGTAAAAAAAAAATATACAATCACTCATATTGACAAACTTTACAACTTTCATGAATGGGTCAACTTCGAAATCCAACACTATAATTCATAAACCTTAAAATTATATTTAACCGTCGATTGCCATTTACGCTTTATTCTTCTTACTGAATTTCATTTTTTAAATTTTCTTTTTTGAAAACATGATCATATGGCGGATGTAACAAGATGAACAGTCCAGATCTTTGATATCACGTTTCGATATTTACGGTTAACTGAAATATGAGTCGATGTCATATAGTTTGTAAAAACTTTATAAACATCAAACAATATTTTCACTAACCGTAAAACTCTGAATATAATATCAACGATCCAAACCGCTCATCTTCCTGCATCTTCTAATAGATCAAGTTTTAAAAAAAGAAAATCTAAAAAAACAAAATTTGATGAGAACAATGAAGCGTAAATGTAAACAACAATCAACGGTCAAATTTTGATCTATGATTTATATGATTGTAGTGGCGAATTTCGAAGTTAAGCTCTTCATGAAAGTTGTAAAGCTTGTCATTACGAGCATTTATATATTTTTTCTATATTTTTTAACACTTCTACATTAATTAAAAAACTATTAAAGACTTTAGGTAAGTGAAAATATACTTAAAATAAAATTGTGTTTTATGTTTTGGATGTGACAATATGATATGTATATACTTATTTAGTATTATGTTTTTCATTTGATTATTTATTGGTTTAAAATATATTTTCCTTAACGGGTAACGGGTCGGGTCATATTACCTGTTAATATTATCAGGTCGATTTCGGATCGGGTCATTTTACCCATTTATTTTAACGGATGTTACACGACACGACTCGTTAAGATATCGGGTATGACACGAAAACGACACGAACACGGAAAACACGACACGAATGCCAGGTAGACTTTCAACCAATAAGAAACGTACAAAATAGTTAGATTTTGCATCAAACAAACAAAAAATAAGAAAAACTCTAAACACGGAATTAGGTTGAAGAAAGAAATAGAACAAAAACACCAAATTGCAATAACAACATAAATTACATAAACTCACAGACCTAGTCGTAACCAAGTTGAGTACAACAATATGCACCTTCTACATCTAACGTTTGAGTTTCTCTCATGGTATAGATTAAATTAAAACAACACTCCACATCAAAGGAAACAAAATACAAAGATAAGCACCCAATTAATTAGAAATCACATAAAACATGGCAATGGCGTAGAATTTTAGTGTTGGAGAAATTAGAAAGAGAAGGAGAAGAAAGAGAACAAATAATTTTTTTTTAAGGAAGAGAAAACAAATAACTAAGAGAAAGATATATATTAAATTAATTGAAACATACGTACCAGGAAATAAGGCAAGGAGACGATTTGGCGAATGACGAGCCACTGCATGCCGTAACCGATAAATCCCATGAAGGCGGACATGAACAGCACCACCCACAGAGAAAATACATGAGAGCCAGCCCCGACGACCACCCCAACACCTTCCCAAGGTCAGACGCCGTCGCCAGGTAATTCAACTGCACCTGCGAGATTCCCAGCACCAACTTCAACGACGACGAATACGATGAGAAATCGAAGTTCGTCCCTGTAAACGCCTGAATCCATATTGTGGCCACCAGAATCATCCATTTTCTCGACTGCCCCGCCATCAGAATTTCCTTAAAAATATTTGATGTTTACAATACCAACGCCACCAGCGGCAGCGCCTCCGTTCCGCTGCAAAGGCCACCACGGTTGTCGTTGTTGTGTCTTGCTGCTGCTGGTGTTGTGTGGTTTGCGTCTCTCTGTCTCCCTGCGTGGCCTCATTTATAAACCAACGATCTCATATCCCTTGATGTGGGCCCCCACTCTCTAGAATTTCTCTTCATTATAATGTTGACGTACTTTCTCTCTCTTGTCGTTTAGTAACTAATAATTGTTCTTTTTGTTTTTTTAATACTTATTGAAGATTTTACACAGGCTTAGTAATCGGGTTAATTGCACATGCACAAGTGAAAAGATTTCGACCGTTGATGTATATAAAGCTCAAAGTGCATCAACGCTTTAAAATTAGTGCACGTCAGTTGGCTGTACAAAACCCAGCGGAAGCTAACCCAGGACCGTTGTTGTAGGAAAGAGATCCTCTCCGCATCTTTCCCCTCAAAGCTTAGAGAACAAGTGACTTGGATTTTTAAAATTTGATGCAACAACAAAAAATTATTATAGCTTTTAAAAGTTTTTACTAACTTCTCTATTTTTAACCATTGAATTAAATTTAAAAATTCGAATCATTTTGTTCCTAGACTTTGGAAGAAAAGATCTGAAGAGAATCTCTTTCCGTTGTTGTATGTGAGGTGAAGAATGCATTAAAGTTCAAGATAAGCGCTTATGCGCAAGGGGATGGAACTGAGGGCAGTCCTTTTTTTACAATTTTTTTTTTCCGGGTATGTTTTCAGACAATCTTTTTAGCTTATGTACACATTGCTCTTTGTTTATAGTCATCAGATTAAATAATAATTCAAACAAAAATAGTAAACATGATTAAACAAGGGTACGTATGAAACCAAAAAAGAGTGTATCATTTATCCGCTTCAAATTCATGATAATGTGGCAACATGTGATCATGTGACAGAGGCATCCAAGGGCAGCCGGAAGACTACTTGTCTTGGATCACTTGGCGTTGGTCGGTACAATATGTGTTGTAAGAACCCTAATAATTTTGAACTGTATTAAGGGGAGAATCCCCACCTCGTACATATGCTGTGTGGTGGTGACCATGTTGATTGTTCGAGAAGGGGCAACCACCATCTCATTCAGTAATATATGTTTGTGTATATACATGTACATGTGTATAAGTTATTCCCATCGCTGAGGTTAACGTCTCTAATGCACATGCAAATCCTCAAAACATATTCTCTTTCCATTTGTTTGAACCTTACTCAATTTGAGAGGTTAACAAATCTAATATATGATTTCTGGCATTAATTATTGTTTGAGCCACATTTTAACACATGGTTTGGTATAGTCCATGTGGTTGACAATAATGTAGTTTTGAGTTAATTCCGACGAAACTTCCGACAAAGAGCCTTTATTCTTGAATATCCCTAAGGCTCATGCGGCCAACGGAGAGTTTTGAGGCAAAGATATTCACACAAGAAATATGCCGGAAGGTCCAGCGAAGAGATTCAAGATCAAATGTATCCCCACGCGTCACAGTTAGTCGAGGAAGAGTTTCTAGCTACAATAGAGAGCTTCCCTCAACGTTGAGATCCACGCATCACTTTAACTCTATGTTTTTGTTTTGCATTCTTAATTGATTTTGTTTATACGAACGAAAGGACCTAGACAAGTTTGTTCAATTACTTGATTAGAAGTTCTTATATTTGACACATTCTGCTTTTTTATATAGGGTAATTTTAGAGTGCATGATGACTTTTAGAGTGGTAATAACAACTCTCCTTTAGTATTACATCTCTTTCTATTACAGGTATTCCAAGTCGACCAAAAGGAATAAAAAAAGTCTATGTGAGACGATTTTAAAATGCAAAGAAAATGAATTAAATAATTATAAGGGCAAATCGAAATGAGAATAATGCAAAAGATTTTCAAAATAATTTAAGTAGTTAAGAATTTTTACGTCTGCATCATTTTCACTTCGATTTGCCTTTTCTCCAATATCAGTTCTTCCGGTTGAGAGTGTGATTCTTATATCGATGAATTAAAAGAACCTTACATAGGCCTATGGTAAAATTTTAGCCACTCTCGTTGTTTCCAATTGGTTTTTGGATAAAACATCAATTTATTCATGCTATCAGAACAAGTTATCCATGTAATATATATTGCCCTAGAGTCATACAAGAAGGAATCACTACAAACAAAAATCCTTTGCCAGACCGAATAATTTGTTGGGCCAAATAAGTTTTCGTCGCCTGAACTTTTAGCTGAGGAAATTCGTTAGGCAAAGTTAGTGACGCAAAAGCTGTCTCTCAAAGGTTTACTTGACGAAACTTAGAAACCGTCAGGCAACGGCGTTTTGCCTGACAAAATTTCTGATGACCATTTTGTCGGCCAAAAATGCATTGACCAACTATACTAGATGAACTACACATGCCCGACCAAAGTTTTTTTATAGAGCAAAGTTTAAATTTAAGGAAAAAAAGAGGAAATATATTTAGCCTGACGACAATTTCGCTCGGTAAACGTTATACAACAACAAAACCTTATCCCTCTAAGTGAAGTTGGCTCTTATCGGATATTACTCCAAGACGAAATATGGTTCATCAGACAATATTTAGTTAGATAAATAGTATTTTCTGGTACTGAATGAGCATATTAAAAGTATAAATCTCGCATTAAAATTTAAGAACCTTTGCATTCTTATAAGAATATTTCGTCTTACAAATAGTATTTTTTTGGTAGTGAATGAGCATATCCAAATTGTAAATCTCACATTAAAATTTAAGAACCTTTGCAGGCTTATAAGAAATTTTGGTCAGTCCTTCTTTTACCAATTGATTTTACGATCGTTCGACTTCTTTCACTTCTGTTCAGATAATGGATGCCAATTCCTAATTGTGGTCTTCAATTTGGCATCGGATTTGCCACATAGGATAGAATTTTTCTAATTTCTTATTATCGAAAACCCAAAAGGGAATAAAGAAAATATAATAATTGAAACATCTCAAGAAATGATACCTTCTTTACGTTGAACAAAAAAATGATACCTTATTTCGAGTCTGTAGTTGTATTCAAATCGGAAACGAAGGGTTACAAAACATCTCACCAAAGCAAGTTCTATCCTAATTTCCCAATCCTATGGAAATAGATTTGCCTCGCACAGCGTCCACCAATCCTATTGATTTGATTCCTACCTTCATCAACATCATACATCCAACATGCTACAACGCCTAATTCACCACTTGCCAAAATAATATAATGACCTTTTGGATCAACATCGGATCCAAAAACAAAAAATTTAACTTTAGTTCTGTTTTTTCAGTTGTGTTTCACTTTCAAGATTGTATTTTCATTCAATCTTCTTTATTTCTTCCTCTCTTCCACCACCATATACTTTTCTCATATCTTAAGCATAACCGTTGATGTTAGTGAAAATAAGGGATGAAGAAAAGTTGATGAAGGATGATGGGAGAAATGTATAAGAAAATGGCCACGAAATATAAAACTAAAACAAAAAACTATTTTGAGTGTTTCAATTTCAAGATTTTGTTTGGGTTTTTTATTAGCATCCAACATAATATTGGAAACGAGAAAAACTTGTGTGAGGCTTAACTTGTCATTGAACCATGCTGAGTGGCACTACACACCACTTGTAACTTACCAGGTGTTAAACATAAATATGATTTCTTATTTTTTGTTTTATATCAAAATAAAATTAAAAACTTAAAGCATTATTTCTTCAAGAAACTAAAATTGTTAAAATAAAACTCACAACCCCAGTTCACCTTCCTCCATCTGCAAACCCGCCCATGGACTCTTCTCTCGTTGGTCTGTGTCCCCAACGCCGTCAATTCTCCTCCCTTACTACTCAGCCTCCCCCTTCCCTCATTCCCCCATCATTCATCTTTCTCTCTCATGATTGCTTATATAATTAATTCAATTTCACATCAATAGTACATAGTATTTGAAAACTGGTGAAAGAAGGCCTTTTAAAAATTTACTTTTTTCATATAGTTTTTTTTTATTATTAATTTTATTCTCTATTATATAAATTGAAAATAAGAAATTATACTAATGCAACAATGATTAACACATGGCAAGTTATGAAGGGTGTGGTAGTGTCACTCAGCATGATCTAGTGGCAAGCCAAGATTATTTATGTCTTTGACTCTCAAAACCACTATCACCCTATATTGTACAACAAAACCCTAACCAATAAAACTATAAACACGTTGAATGAAAAAATTTATTTTTGATGAATGAAACATGAAATTGACGTAACAGAAGCTTCACATGAGGTAAGACTTCATATTTAACGTAGAAAGAAGAGATGGACATGAAATGAAGAATATATGCACAAGATTGATGTGGTATGATAAATTCTTTCGGATGTCTAAGAAAGAGATTTTTTTTCTTCACTACGTAAAATATGTCTACAAGACACTAAAAGCAATATGTAAAATATGTCTACAAGACACTAAAAGCAATATGTAAAATTGATGGGTCATGAGATTCACTATTATTTCTTCACAGAGAACAGAGAGGTTTGTGTTAATCATATGGCCTCTGAACGTTTTGCCAATTCATGATGCCATGAGTAATCTTTGTTGGATGTTTACAATTAATTGAGGGGTGTGCTATCCACGCTCTTCCTTTTACTTCTTATATACTCTCTTAATTTCTGACCGTTAGATCGAATGAATTGAAGAATATCAAATGACAGAAATTAATAAGAGATGTGTGAGAAGTAAAAGGGGTGATCCACACCCCTTAATTGAAATCATTGTTTGTCTTTACCTTGGATTTGGGTAAAAAAAACACTGTTAGGTTGAAGCTTTGATACCATAAATATAGAAGAGGGTGGAGGAAAATCGAAGAGAAAGTGCAAGAAAAAAATATAAGCTTCAAAGAATTCCTGAGTTGAAAAGTATTGGAGAAGCAATTTTTTTTTTGTTACCTTAATTACAAGAACAACTAAATATACAATTTAAGCTTTAGGTTGCAGACTGAAGCTGGTTGGAATAATTATTTTGCTCCAACGTTATTCAACCATAATCTGGTTGACAGTTTGAGATACCGCTGGATGAAGTATGTAGACTTCAATTCAACAACTGCGCGTGTACTTTG